TTGTCTTTTTATTGCAATGGATTAGGGAACCCAATAGAGAAGTACTGTGTCATAGGAGGGATGGCTGGTGTGAGAAGGGAAGAGGCATAATTGACCTCTGCCTTGTGGCATTTGACCTTGTGCTAGTGTGGTGTTGGCGTCTCCTCCCTTATGTGGCCCGAGGAAATCAGGAGTGGCCGTCACAGCATCTCCTCGGCATCTGTCAGTGTGGTCCACCCCAAGGATATACATTGCATTGCAGTGGCTTTGCATGTTGCCAGGATGCTGGAAGCTATGCCCCAGCATTCCTAATACCAGTAGGGTGCCTTTCGGCGGACAGGTTTCAGCAGACTTTCCAGATGGAGACAGGATCCGCTTCCTCCAAGTAGCCAAGGAAAACCTAATAGGTCGCAGCAGAGCAGGTCCAACTTGCTTCCTTGGGCACATCGCCAGGAAGGACACTCACTGGCGGAGAACGCCAGGTTTGCAAACGTGCAGGACTAGTGAGGGGCGCTCATTGAACTGGGCTGACATACGAGCTGCAACGAGGGAGCCGCCAGATACGGCGATAACCATGAGGATCATGCAGCCCTGCGCAATGCTTGTTCCGATGTGCATAAGGTCACCAAGAATCCCGGTTGACATCATGGGAAGAGTATCATCAATATCATTAAATTACACGAGGAGAAACTGTTGAATTGGTGTCTGCTTCACTGGGCATATTCTCAACAACAAAATAAATACAGTTTAGAGGAAAATGAGTCAGAGCTGATTCCATGACAGTTACCTATCTTTAAGTCTACATATCCTTACATGTTAGCAGTCCCACTCTGTATTTCAGCTTATTTATAAATAATTCCCAACAAGGACCAATTCCCACCCTTTGCCGTGGGGGGATGCGCATCCAGAAGGCTCCTCGGAACCAAGGATCCTGAGACTGGGTCGCACTGCTATCCAGAGGGCCGTCCCGGGAGAAGGACATTGTGCTTGCTGGAGCCCCTCTAGGACATGAAGTGAACGCAGTGGCTGCAACAAGGGGCTCGAAGATTGCAACCAGTGTGAGGGTGGGGCAGGACCAGGCAGCGGTTCCTTGGCTGGTGCACAGGGTTGCTATGAATCGGAACGGATTTGACAGCGCCTAACAACACAGCCCTAAAAAGCGGCTGTCGATGTGGGATGTCCCTCTACCCCGAGGGTCTTGCTCAGCCATCAGCTTAACTCAGTTCACAAAGATATGCCGATCACAGGGAGATCCTCTCTCCGCATTCAGGCACTGGATGAGTGGGGGACCCCCCCCATTTTTTTCCTGACGTCATCATCATCTAAAAGTAATACAAATTACATGAGGTGCTTTGCTCCTTCCATTAGTCAGGGTTAGGGAGCCACCAATCAGCTGAGTGATTCATTTGGTTACAGCGATGGGCGCTGCTGTGGCATCTGTAATGTCTCTGAAGCTGTGTCCTCCCACCACAACCCTCTTTATTTATTACAAATGCTACCTCCACACACAGTCCCCTCCTCAGATGGACTGACTTATCTTGGCCCCACTGTCTATTAGGGAACACCCGAGAACAGAAGGCGCCTCTGTGAGACGGGACATGGACATCAATCGCCCTCCTCCCAAGCCCCTTGTACTCTCGCGTGGACTCCAAATTGCACTAAACTGTAAACAGAGCTGACTTGACCCAGCACCCCGACTTGGTGAACAGAAGGGGGAGCAGATGCCTCGACAGCTGCTTCCAGCCCGTCTCTGCTCCCCATTTCCCCAGGGAGGAAGGGAGATTGATGACTCACTCAGATTCACAGACGACACAACCAGGGTCCATTCTTAGTTCAGAATGGGTTCCCCCGCCCCTCTCCAACCAGGCACCCCTCCAGTCACGCCGCTTTTCTACTATGTTTAGCAGCAGCCTTTGGCCAAAACTACGAAGAAGGTAACTTAGCCGAAGAAATGTAGGAATGGTGTTTCAGAGGCAACCGCACACAAGCTGGGTTATCCCACCATGTCCTCCACAATGCATTTGAGACCAATTAGCTCACCCTGTCACAAGGGGAACTTCGAGATGCCAATTGTCTAACATGCTGCGTTTTATATGAGCCACCAGCTCGGCTGCTGGGCTGTACAATGTAAGCAAAACCATGCACGTGATTGGAGGAAAAATGGGAGGGAAAAGGGCAAGCGGGCGTGACTCACTACGGAAACTGCTCCCACCGACGCTAATGGGGAGCTGGAGCCATCCGAAACCACAGGGCAGAGGAACATTTGATCATGTGGGGAAATGGTTAAGACATACTTACTGGTAAGAGAGAGAAGCTGAAAATCCAAGTCCCTCTCAGTGACGTCATGTGTGGCCCGTGTGTGACATCTCCCCAGCAAGGCAAAGGACCGAGTGGGGGAGGAGCATGAAGAAAACACTAACGAGCAACCGTGGTTGAAATCTGAGTCAGGGGTCCTCAAGCTTTTTAAACAGGGGCCAGTTCACTGTCCCTCAGACCCATTGGAGGGCTGGACTATAGTTTTTTT